TGTGCATTCTTGAGTTGTAGGCAGGTCCTCCTTCGTCCAGTATTGCGCCACCAACAGTCTTGCTGCCGTTATTAGGTGCAGAATCAAAGTTCTGATTTGTGGTGGGAAAAAACCCAGTTTAAAATATCTTAAGAACAAGAGTTGTATGTGGATAGTGTTATCATATCATTTAGCCACTAGATGGCACTAATCCAATTTTATGCATCTGCTACTCTGTTCATTGCACTTATGTGTCATTCCATTTTAGAGGTCATGTATAAATGGTGTCAAAACCTAGGAAGCTAGATTCAGGTGAAATATTAAGAGAAATGCTGCAATAATATGAGCAATTTAACCGTAGAATCAATTATCAAGGTAGGCGGTGAATGCTTCTGCACTGAAGGTGTACAGCTGAAAGATAAACATCTGTTAAAGATACCGAAATTTAGATATCTGTGAGGAGCAGGTGAGAAAATTGGTGACCTCTTTGTATTCTTTGGCTACCCACCAAGATGCACTTATCTGCCATCACGACAATTTTGCATTGTTTAACGGCTAACTGCGAAGAGAAAATTGGCAGTTTCCAAAATCCACTTAAAAGGGTAGGAGAAAATGAATGGCCTATATACACAGAGGCCAATAAAAAAATGCTTTGTGAGAAAACATATAATTAGAAATGGCATGCCAGGATGTAATTAGTGGTGTGAAATCAAATCATTAGAGTCTAATTTTATAACTACAGCCACAACAGAAATTACCCACAGCAGATGGCTACGTAATCCGTGGACTTTTGCACCAACTAATTTCTGAATTTCCATTCCCACCTGAGAGGTCATTTGCTGGTGATTCTTTTCTTTCTTCCATAATTTCTTTCTATTACTAGCTAGAAACTCTAAAGGTTTGCAATAAACCCCATGAATTTATGCAAAGGTAGAAAATGTTCCTTGGTTCTCATTCGCCACAACATGGAATTCATTTGATCTGCCCTTCGTTCCTTCTGATTTTAACTGTAGAAAAAAAAGTACAGTATGTTTTAACTGTACATTGCCTGAAGTCGCTCCATGAGTGACATAGGCGCTCTCTAAATCTATATACCACTCGCTCATTATGAAATCTCCAGAACTGCAAAGCCTACAAACTTGAAATTCGGTGTGTATGTTCCTCTTGGCTTCTAGGTGCTCACTAAGAAAGGATTTCTCTAAATGACCATCAGATCATTAGTATTTCTTACACAATAGTTAATACGCTCTGGTGCTAAGTTGTTCTACTCCCCCTCCCCACGTGAAAAGAACTCTGTTCCAACTGCCAGTTGCCTCACATTCCATTACCTCAGTTCAAACTGGCAGACATTCCTTCCCTCAGGAGCGGTCTGAGGATCCTTACAGTACTAAACGTCGGAACCGGTACCTCACCAAAATGTCTACGCCTTCCACCTATGGAACTGCGTCCGAACTCAAGGCCGCAGGAGCGATATTCCCTTATGAGTTTCAATCACTGACCACCACTGAGCCAACGGATTGAACCGGAGTGAACCAGATTTCTCCTGCGTTGCCCGATCACGTAGTTTCATCACGAAGCACAAGTATCCAGCTAGTTTGATATATAAATAATGCAGTGCGGAGGGAATGGAGATTTAACGGTATCCTTCCCCTGCCACGCCCACCAAGCCATGACACGCCCACCAAACCACGCCCACATAACTGGTCGTAAAACCAGCAGCAACACACCTATTGTACCTATTTATTTGCTC